CACCAGCATGGTGTATTATGAAAGAGTGCATACCAGTATAGTGTATTATGAATGAGTGCTCACCAGTATGGTGTATTATGAAAGAGTGCTCACCAGTATAGTGTATTTTGAAAGAGTGCTCACCAGTATGGTGTATTATGAAAGAGTGCTCACCAGTATGGTGTATTATGAAAGAGTGCTCACCAGTATGGTGTGTTATGAAAGAGTGCTCACCAGTATGGTGTATTATGAAAGAGTGCTCACCAGTATGGTGTATTATGAAAGAGTGCTCACCAGCATGGTGTGTTATGAAAGAGTGCTCACCAGTATGGTGTATTATAAAAGAGTGTTCACCAGCATAATGTATTATGAAAGAATGTTCACCAGCATGGTGTATTATGAAAGAGTGCATAGCAGCATAGTGTATTATGAAAGAGTCCTCACCAGCATGGTGTATTATGAAAGAGTGTTCACCAGCATGGTGTATTATGAAAGAGTGCATACCAGCATGGTGTATTATGAAAGAGTGCATACCAGTATGGTGTATTATGAAAGAGTGCATACCAGTATGGTGTATTATGAAAGAGTGCATACCAGTATAGTGTATTATGAAAGAGTGCATACCAGTATGGTGTATTATGAAAGATTGCTCACCAGCATGGTGTATTATGAAAGAGTGCATACCAGTATGGTGTATTATGAAAGAGTGCATACCAGTATGGTGTATTATGAAAGAGTGTTCACCAGTAGTGTATTATGAAAGAGTGTTCACCAGCATGGTGTATTATGAAAGAGTGTCACCAGCATGGTGTATTATGAAAGAGTGCATCACCAGCATGGTGTATTATGAAAGAGTGCATACCAGTATGGTGTATTATGAAAGAGTGCATACCAGTATAGTGTATTATGAAAGAGTGCATACCAGTATAGTGTATTATGAAAGAGTGCATACCAGTATGATGTATTATGAAAGAGTGCTCACCAGCATGGTGTATTATGAAAGAGTGCATACCAGTATAGTTTATTATGAAAGAGTGCTCACCAGTATGGTGTATTATGAAAGAGTGCTCACCAGTATGGTGTGTTATGAAAGAGTGCTCACCAGTATGGTGTATTATGAAAGAGTGCATACCAGTATAGTGTATTACGAAAGAGTGCATACCAGTATAGTGTATTATGGAAGAGTGCATACCAGTATAGTGTATTATGAAAGAGTGCTCACCAGTATGGTGTATTATGAAAGAAGTGCATACCAGTATAGTGTATTATGAAAGAGTGTTCACCAGTATGGTGTATTATGAAAGAGTGCTCACCAGTATGGTGTATTATGAAAGAGTGCTCACCAGTATGGTGTATTATGAAAGAGTGTTCACCAGTATGATATGTTATGAAAGAGTGCTCACCAGCATGGTGTGTTATGAAAGAGTGCTCACCAGTATGGTGTATTATGAAAGAGTGCTCACCAGCATGGTGTATTATGAAAGAGTGTTCACCAGTATGGTGTATTATGAAAGAGTGTTCACCAGCATAGTGTATTATGAAAGAGTGCTCACCAGCATGGTGTATTATGAAAGAGTGCATACCAGTATGGTGTATTATGAAAGAGTGCATACCAGTATAGTGTATTATGAAAGAGTGCATACCAGTATAGTGTATTATGAAAGAGTGCATACCAGCATGGTGTATTATGAAAGATTGCTCACCAGCATGGTGTATTATGAAAGAGTGCATACCAGTATAGTGTATTATGAATGAGTGCTCACCAGTATGGTGTATTATGAAAGAGTGCTCACCAGTATAGTGTATTTTGAAAGAGTGCTCACCAGTATGGTGTATTATGAAAGAGTGCTCACCAGTATGGTGTATTATGAAAGAGTGCTCACCAGTATGGTGTGTTATGAAAGAGTGCTCACCAGTATGGTGTATTATGAAAGAGTGCTCACCAGTATGGTGTATTATGAAAGAGTGCTCACCAGCATGGTGTGTTATGAAAGAGTGCTCACCAGTATGGTGTATTATGAAAGAGTGTTCACCCAGCATAATGTATTATGAAAGAATGTTCACCAGCCATGGTGTATTATGAAAGAGTGCAT